GGCCACTGTGCAAGAAAGGTCTTCTGGGGAAACGCTAGTGACAACCTGGAAAAAGTTCTTCATAATTCATATCATTGGCCTTTTCATATCATTGGCGGTGTTTGCTTGCAAGGAATAAGAAAAAAGATAAAGGATAAATAAAGGATAAATCTCTGATAAAGGATAAAGGATAAATCTCACACGCTGGAAGGACTGGAAAAAGTCTTCCTATAATAAAGACATTCTAAGTCTTTTTTCTTTTTTTTAGAATTATTTATTTATACAAGCACTGGGTACAGTAAGAAGCGCAGAAGGGTAAGAGAATTCACCAGAGCCAGAGTGGGGAACAGAACAGGCAGACTGATGAAGTACACTGCTGAGGGGAGCAGCGGGCAGCAGGAGAGGTCTGCACGCCATGTGGAACCCTCGCCCGGTGGCTGGGGATCGAACTGGTGCTGCAGAGGCTACGGGCAGCTTAGCAACCCAGCGCTCAACCACTGTGCCACCAGGGAGGCCTGACATTCTAAGTCATTGACACAGAAAATGGTCTCATACTATATGATTTTTTGGGTAAGCTTAAAATGGTTACTTCTACTTTATGGATTTTAACTTACTATAATCCTGTTGTGTGTGTGTTTGGGGGAGTAGTCAATTTAACAAATATTTGAGGGTGAAAAATGTGCTGACCCCTTTGTAACCACTGAGACTTCATCAACAAAAATGATAAACTTACTCTAGCTCTTTATGGAGTTTTTTAAAATCACCCATGAATGTAATGTGAGGACACACATAAAGCTGAGGGAGAGACATTTAACCCAGATGTAGAGAATCATGGACAGTTTCCTACAAATATAACTTAGCATAAGCCCTTCTAGTTCCATCTACATTGCCACAAATGGCATGAGTTTATCTTTTTTGATTTCTGAGTATTCCATGGTGTATATAGACTACATCATCCTGATCCACTTCCTAATGGATCCACTTCTATGCCTATGTTTCTGGGCACTTAGATAGTGTCCATAATTTGGCTATTGTAAACAGTGCTACAGTAAACAAGGGAGTGCAAGAGTCCCTTTGAATTAGTGTACTTGTTTTTTTTTTTTAAAGATTTATTTATTAATGCATACACGATCTGGGGTGTAGGCCAGAGGTGCGGGGGTAAGAGGATTCACCAGAGACAGAGTGGGGAGCAGAACAGGCAGACTGACTGAAATACACTGCTAAGGGGAGCAGTGGGTGAGACAGGAGAGGTCTGCTGTGCCATGGGGGTAGCTCCCTGGCCAGGCATGGAAATCATGCTACAGAGGCTGTGGATAGCTTCACAGTTTTTTGCTTAACAGACAGTCCTCAGTCTTAGGTTAAGCAGATCATTTGATCCATTCTGTGGGGAGGGAGGCAGTCATTACAGAGCTTGGAAACTCTGCATTTCTCTGCCAAATTCAGATTTCACCAGACATCTCAAAATGGTTCAGGAGAGAGAGTCGACGCATATGTACAGACAGGAAAGATGGTGTGTCTCCAAAGATAGACAGGAGCGGGTTTACAATGGAGAGGCCTGACAGTCATCCATCCAGATCACTCATTACACTGCCTCCTCTATTCCCCAGATTTCAGGGAAATTGGGACCTTAACAAGAACTGTATCCCAGTTTAAGAAAACCAGGGGCATGGAATGAACAGCCTACACATTTATCTCATCTTGCTTCATTATATTATTCTGAAGAAACACTTGTATTTCTAGTATTTCAAGGAATCTTTTCAGAATATACAGTATGAGCTCTTTTAACCAACACAATCATCTCTTGTTCACTCTTGCAGCCTGCAGGTTGAAAGACTAACTTTTGCTATTGGAGGCACTGCTTTTTAAATAGGAATTGGACTTCAGAGAGACCTAGTTCTCCATGGTCCTAAATAAGCATCCCCTCCTCCAACGGGTCAGGGGTCTTTGGGCAGTGTCCCCTCTAACATACCTAAGGGTCAAACGTTCAGCTGGTAACACTATCCCAGTGAAGACAGAATTGTTACTGCTTATTCTTGTGAAGCTCTCAAGTGGCACGGTCTTTATGATTACTCTACAGGTTGTTGTTGGTTGGTTGGTTTTACTAATTTGTCTTTGGCTCGTGTTCACCCAAATTCCCTGTTATTGACCCAAAACTCCCACATTTACTGGTAACCTTATTACAGTGAGACTGCATTTCATAATCCATGATGGTAACACTTTGTTCAATTTGCTGACACACTTAACCTGACCAAAATTACTTGGGCAAAGAGCTTTGTAAGAACCACTGATTGCGTTTATTCCTTTCCTGGGGCAAAATGTTTCCATTCCCTTTAAGACAAGATCTTCTCTTGAGAATCAGATCTGTTTCCCAGCAAAGCTACCCCAAACTCTGACTATTAGTGCCAGTTGTTAATGGATACTAATAACATGATCTGCGCTGACAGAGCCAAGCATACAAATACAGGGATTTGGTGGCCTCTGCCTGGTATGATTTAAGGGCTGTGGAGACTATGCAGAAGTCTCTCCCAAACCACCTGAGCTCCACTGCCTAACTGCTCCACCAGTGAATCATTTCTTTACACCACCTTCTGAAAAAACATTCTTCAAAGAGGAGTCATATTTAAGTCAGCTGGTGGTCAAGAGGTCTCGAAGGGGGCACTAAAAACAAAAAAAGAGGAAAAGAAGAAGAAATAGAAGCAATAATGTAATACTTTGTGTGCTGAGACTGCATTGCAACACTGGTGCAAACAGTAGGTGACAATTATGAGAGAATGATTTGGTGTGGCTCAAACCCAAAAGCACATGCCTAATACATTCTTATTATTGATTTACAGGGAAGTTTGAAAAGACAGGGCAGATTCAACCTGATTTGTAATTGGTCTGCTACTTCAATACAAAGTATAAGTTTCTTTAGGACAATGATGTTCAACTATGGACAATTTTGCTCATACTCTTCAGGGTGGGAGGATATTATTGGCACTATCTGCAGACATTCTGGGTTGTCATAACTGAGGAGAAGGGGTTGCTAACTGACAATGTGTGGGTACAGGCTAGAGATGCTACTTAATAGCCTACGATGCACAGGAAAGCTTCCCCCCCAAAAAACAATTATCCAGCCCAAATCAAGTATGCGGAAGTTGAGAAACCTACTTTAAGGTCATAGGCAAGTTATAGAAATAAATATATATACAGATATAACTATAGCCAGTTATAGAACTGACAGAACTATAATACAGTAATTTCTAGTTATGCCTTGGACAGGAACAAGAATACATGGAGGGCCTCCCTGGTGGCGCAAGGGATTAAGCACTGCACTATGAAGCTAGCCGCAGCTTCTGCAGCACAAGTTCTATCCCCGGCCAGCCAGGGAGCAACCCACATGGCACAGACCTCTCCTGTCTCGCCCGCTGCTCCCCTCAGCAGTGTACTTCGTCAGTCTGCCTGTTCTGCTCCCCGCTTTGTCTCTGGTGAATCCTCTCACCCCCCCCCCACATCTCTGGCCTATACGCAGCTCTCATATGCATGAATGAATAAATCTTAAAAAAATAAAAAAAGAATACATGAATCCAAACGTAAATGCAAAAAGTGACTCCTGAGTGGTCATTGTCAGAAATTCAATTTTTTGTCACATTATTTGATGGGTCTACTATTTGGAAGGTCATTTTTCCATCCCTATATTTAATCCATTTACCACCAGCTCAGTAACCAGAAGGAGAAGGGTAGGAATCTTAGCCAATTCATCTTCAGAGAGACTCTGGATTGCTGTTACAGTGATAGCTCTAATCAGTAAGTTCTCTGGGAGAACATTTCCTATAACTAAATCACTCAATTGATGTTATCTTGTTGAGTGGCAAAAAAATGCCTTTGTTCCCAGCTCCTAATTGAACCGGTCAAACTGATGGCTGACAGGAAGGCCAGCTTCTCTCAGGGTATGTTCTATATTTCTTACCCTTCTCTTGACAGTAGTGCCCCCTCCCTCGCCTCAGGCACAGCACGCACACCTCAGGCACACCATGCACGCCTTAGGCCTCATCTACCCACCTTCTTCTCCATTCCTCTTCCTCCTCTCAGAGCAAGGGCAGATGACGAAGAGCAGGCAGAGGGGGCATCTTGCCACCACTCACTTCCCTTTAATTTTTTTTTAATTGAGGTGATATTGTTTTATAACACTGTATGTGAGTCAGAGGTACAGGCTCATACCCCCTCAGATGTCTGTCACCACACCATACACACCACGAGGACACCCACTGCCTTCCGCCCCAGCCACTGGGCCCCTTCACACATTGCTCCCCCCTCAGATTTACCCATTGGTTTCTACGATTTGTTATTGCTTTGGTTTTGATCCACACAAAAAGATGAACTCTTGCCGTTTGTGACAACATGGATGAAAAAGGAGGGGCTTGTGCTAAGCAACATTAGTGAGGAGAAAGACTAGTACCACACGGCTTCATTTCCGTTTCTTGATGATGTACTTTAGTGGCATCTACAGGAAACAATTACTTGCTAGTTTATTTGGGGAATATGAGGATTTCTTCATTCCACCCTCCGCTGTGGCAAAGTTACTTCAGACTTTCAGCGCAGCAGAGAGACCATGGGTGAGGGCAGACCCAGCCTGGAGATGTCACCAAGGCTACTGCTTTTTTCTGAAACTAATTTGATATAGTCTTGAAAATTCATTTGGGAAAGTGGGTGTGTGTGTGTGGTGGGGACTGTTGTAGTAGATCATGCTTTCGAGGGACCCAGGGTGATGATCCATTACCTGATACCCTCCAATTTGGCCAACCTGGGTGTGGAAGGAACTGCAGTGAGTCCTCCCTGAAATGAAATCCACCATCACCTTAAAAAATATCATCTCTGTGGGCATTTGCTCCCTGCAGGCTTTCCAGTAATTTTTGATTACCGGTCAATCCATCCATCATTCTTTTCCCTGTGCACCAAGGCTTCTAGACAGACATTTTATATCTTCTTGCACACAGCTACTGGAACCTACAGCAATAATGGAAAATTCTTTTCCTTCTCAGGACCAGAAGTGCCCCGACAGAGCGCCACCCCGGAGCCCTCCTCTATTCTGACTTGTACTGTGAAGTTTCCAATACTGTGTGCCCCTGGAATGCACCCTCTCAGCTAATGAAGCCCCAGAGTCCTGCAGTCACGATCCCTGCGCAGGAGACTCTGGTTTTAACTCGATTGGAACCTGACTGGTATCTGCAGGATAAAAGAGAAATGTTGCTGAGTAGTGAAGAGAATATGTCCAGACCTCCGGCCAGAGGGAAAAGACGTAGGCGGGCAGGAGGGAACTGAACTAATCTTCATTCTTCCAGCAGAGATACGGAGGCTGGGAAACATCTCATCCATAACAACCCAATCATGGCTCCCTCCATTTTATGCTCCTTCCCATAAAGCACTTAGAGAAGAAAAGAAAAATTAAGTCTCTCTCCCTCCCTAGCCTTTATTCTTTTAGCCAAGTTGTGACAAGCCACTGATTTCGACCCCATAAATTATTTAACGTTCCTCCTTCACGTTGGGATTGGAAAATCAATCTCCCTGATTAAAAAGTGACCAGCTTCACGTCTCCAAATGTCTCTTTAATCTTTTAATTATGTCTGCTTACAGTCAGCATGTGTCTCCAAGAAGCAGAGGGCTGGAGTCTTGCTAACTTGGTTCAGCCAATCTATAAGTCTATCGTTTTGTTTTTTTTTTTTTAGTGAACCATCTGCTATGGTTACTGTCAGGTAGGCCTGCTTTGAGAAATACCACTAGAAGGTGAGATTCTTAATAAACTTCTATTTCAATGCCACATGTAAAGTTCTGTTGTTTCTCTATTCTCTCACTAAATTAAATATTATAGGATCTAAGGGGAGGCTTAGCGGATATAAACACCAGTTTAATAAAAAGCACCGAGGCATGTGAATGTTTGTGTATAGACCTGAGAAGTCAAGCAAAACCCACCGTCATAAATAGAGCAAGCCAGAGTAACGCAGCCAAAAGTATACATTTGTAAATTGACTCCCAGGCCAAGATTTTCGGAAGAAGAATTACCATCACTTCAGCAACCCAATTCTTCATGAAAAACTGTTCTACTCTAATGAGCCAGATGAGAAACAGTCTCCAGAAGGCTTGTAAATGTAAGCAACAGATTACTGAGCGCAAAACAAGGCGAGCATGATCCAGGTAAGCCTTACAGTGATTCATGGAGAAGTCATTTATTATAGGGGCGTTGTTTGAAAATGCAGTGAAGCCTGTGATAATGTGGCCCGGAAACTCGAATGTTTCAAAACTCAAAACACAGACACGCAACCCGCTTTATCTAATTCTGTATCCCAAGGACCATGAGCAGAAATTCCTGCCGACTAGTAGGCTTGCTTCAAAATTGTAAGCTACTGTTTGAAAATATTCACAGTGTGAATGGCACTGTCAATTTCACACCCTCTTTCCAAATGTTGAGTGGAGAAAAAGCACCACATTGAGTGGTTTTAAGATCTGTTCTAAATAGAGGTCAGATTGGAGGCTTCAGGGAGACCCCTCAGAGTTGGGATATTTGGGCTATAAAACACTACTGCTGTCCCTCTCTGATGGCACAAAGGGTTAAGATGCAGCACTGTGAAGCTATCCACAGCCACTGCAGCCTGAGTTTGATCCCCGGCCAGGGAGCTACCCACATGGCACAGGGGACTTCTGTCTCGCCCACTGCTCCCCTCAGGAGTGTATTTCAGTCGATCTGCCTGTTCTGTTCCCCACTCTGTCTCTGGTGAATCCTCTCATCACCCCCCTATCCCACATCTCTGGCCTGCACCCCAGATCTTGTATGCATAAATAAATAAATCTTTAAAAAAAAAACACTTTTGCTTCATAGTAAATGATTATAGGCAAGAGATTCACTAGAAGTTTCTGTGGAAGTGAAAGAGCTTAGCAGCCAACCTTGCCTTTGACCTGGTAACACATTCCTCTGTCTCATGGAGGTGGGGCTTGACAGCACCCAGTGACGCATCCCATGGCTTTGCCATGGTGGACTGATGATAATGTGAACCTGGACAACCTCATTATCTAGCCTGTGTTTCAAAAAACAAGTCTGAAATTTCTTAGAAATGAGGAGTTTATATAAGACTGTCTGAAGAAGATGATTTAACTTCTGTTCTAGGCCTATAAGCCTGCACAGGGTTTTTTTGTTTTGTTTTGTTTTGTTTTTAATAATCTTAGCACCAAATGCCTCAAAAACCCAACTGTGAGCTAATTTAGATGCTCTGGTTGAGCTGATTATAATGCAATGGCCTGATGATTTCCCTCATAAAAATCCACTTTAAAATGTTGTGTATTTGTATCCTAATATTTTATTTTAAATGTATTTTGTCTGAAAACCTGTGATATCTGCATAACACGCTGAATCTCTTCCTTCCTATGGATTGGCATGATCTTCATATCAAAGCTCTGTGCTTCTGACCTGACTTTATTTAATGCAAAGCCCAGATAGGGAATCAAGGTAAATCATCAAACATTCACTAGGCATCTATGTATGTCAAGGGATGGGGGTACACGGATAAATATAAGATATTGATGAAGATATTTAGATTGATCAGACAAAGAGAGAGAGTTTAAAGTCAAGGGAATTATACTGCGGTAAGTAAATAAATACCAGGCAGCCTCAAATCAGTTCCAGAAGAGTAGAAAGCTGATGTGTGCCATAAAGACATACTGATGAATTTCCTACGAAGGGGAAACATATGTGCATTAGCCTAGAAGTCACAATTAGGTCCCTGGTGGTGGATGAGATGCCTCTTGGGGTGAAGGGAACACATGACCAGCAGGAATACTAGAGAATTAAAAAAATGTAAACTTAGAGAGGTCTTCCTAGGGGAGTTTGATTTACAAAGGTGTTTCAGTGGAGGACAGAAACACTAAGAGACAAAGGCATTTGGCCAGTAGGTCCCCTCAGGGCAAGGCGTGTGCTAGACATGGTGTGTGGGGTGGGGTTGGGGGAGTGGGTTAGTGTTGGTCTTAGCACACAAAGGACTTCCACCATAACTGGACAAAATCATAACTGCATAAAAATTTGCTAAGGTGTGTGAAGCTGATTATAGCAGCTAGGGTGTTTTGAAAGGATATAAAGGGGACTTAGGCCCCATAGTCACCACCCAAATTGCTACAATAAGGAACACATAGGCACTGAGACTTGGAATGTTCTGTTATACTGCCATTGTTTTTACAAAAAGTCCTGATCGAATGTAATTGTCCAAGCTAGAAAATGATGAGGGATGGTCTAGCCAGACGATGCTCCACCTTCTCAAATGGAATCATAAATGGAAGATACAACTGGAAAAAGTTTCAGCCCAGCTCTGTGGGTGGAAGAAAAAACAGAGGACCCCTCCTCTAGACTTTGACTGTCCTGAAGACCCTCAAGGCCAAATACACTCTTATCTGTGGGATTGCCAAAGGAAATGATTGCCAAAATGGTCTTTTAAACTAAACTCTGCAGCTTCAGACACCTTTTTTTTTTTTATTTCAGGTGTTCTTTGTATTCTGTGCCACAAGGTAAAAAAGCAGGGTGGGTTGGAAGGGTTATTTGGGTGTTTAAATATAATGTTAGTGTTCCTTAGCTCTATTTACAGCACCACAGAACAAGTAATCCAGGAGCTCAGAAAAGAATGGTGGTTTATTAGTGTCAGCAAACAGTAAAGGAAGTAGTAGTCTAAAGGAAGAAAGTGGTAAATAATGATTCATGTAGTAAGAAAATACCTCAACTCAAGGAATCCAAACATTCTTTTATTTATTCAATCTTTCAGCCACCAACTTTCAGTGCCAACTTCATGCCCAGCATTGTGCTGAGGGTTGGGTTTCACAGAATTGCACATGGTTTCTGCTTCTGAGAGGTTCACGGCCTGGAGGTGAAGGAAGGAAAAATAAACTACCATTTTTTCTGTACCTGTTTCCCGTCAAGAACTGCCCTTGACCCTTGACCTGCTTTGATTAACTTAATACAACAAATCTGTGGGTTAGGTATCAGTGTCTTAGTCTGACATAATAGGCTATTTGATGGTGGTGAGATCAAGTGACTTGACTAAAGTCACATAGTTATCCATGGAATTCACCTCCACCTCTGCCTTCAAACACCACACTTTTTTTTTTTTCCACCATACTCTTTATATTGTGCCACAGGACCTCCCTGAAATGAATGACCTTCAACCTGGCCTCCAAGATTACACGGATATGTCAAGGCCCTCTCCCCACCTCTTGATGGACAGATGGATGGATGGGTGGATGGATGGACAGAAAGATGCATATAACTATCTAGACCCATTTCCAACCTTCACACCAGCCAGAGCCTCAAGAAAAAAATGATCTAGGAATTTTTATCACCTTTCCGGTTCATAGTGTATACCCACTGTGTTGGATGCAGATTTCTAAACTAAGATGACAACCATTGCCTAATATTTTTCTGTCCTCTTGGAAGTCTTTCTCTCTCCTAGTCTGTGAAGCTCTCCAGGCTAAGTACTCTGTTTTCATGCATTATGGTATCTCCAGTTCATATGGAAATTCATTGCACTTAATAGATAGTCATTAAAGTGTTTATTGAAGGAAAGAAGAACACTGCAGCTCTATTATTTTTTGTTGTTCTTAAGTTTATTTGCAAAAGTCATGCAAATTCATAGAATGGTCATCACAAAACTGAATAAGACAAAGCTGACTCTGGTTAGCACATCCAACTTCTTACATATAAGGTAAGTCCCAGTCTTTGTGGTATCAAGACAGAAATAAATGAAGTGTTAATGTACTATATAAATTCCTACTCTTTATTTATCGCTATGTTAAAGTCCAATGCCACTTAAAAATAAGCTATAGATACCCCCCCACTGTAGTGTGTCTCTGATTTATAGTTGCTTGTTGATTTTGATTTTTGAGGAGGGATTAGGGTCAAAATAAGGCGGGTGGGAATTGTATGGGGAATATAACCAAGATGAAAATGCATATATTGTGCAAAAATGAAAAATGATGTAAAGAATATATAAAATAAAATTAAAAAAATAAAATTCTCAAATGTGACATAGTTACCACATTGGCAATAAAGATTTTAAGCAATTTTGGGTTTAATTAAAAAGAAACAAGGAAATAAGTTATAACCCCTAAGTAATCATCAAATTACTAAATTCATATCCACATAATGGTGAGACATTAAATATGCATATATTCAATGTACATATTCAATGTATATCCATTCCCTCTGGAAACCTACCCAAGTGTTAATAAAACACAAAAGTATATAAATCTACAAAAATGAGTAAGATAACAGTGGGCAAAAACATTAACAAATGCTTGCCATATCAAAGTTATTGAGGAATAACAACAGCTTAAGCAAAACAGAAAAGGCTGGTCCTATGCACCCAGAGAGATCAACCAATAAGGAACAAGCTCGTCATTCTTGAAAACTCTGGAAAGGCTCAGCACCTGAGGTCTGGGGCCTTCAAAAGGTATAGGCATGAGATGCAGGGTGAACTGAAAGTCAGCCTAAGGCACTGTTAGATCTGTGTGTCCATTTATCATCAGCACTTTCCACCTCCCAGAGGCAGGTAACTTACCCTCTCAATAAAACTGAACCAGACAGGGTCAGGATCAGGAACCCGAGAGACAGAGGCTATTAGCAAAAGTCTGATCATAGATCTCTCCAAGCCTTCTCCCTCTTCCATCTATTGCCCAGAAGGCCACAATCAGGCTTATAATTCCCTTCTGGGAAGACCCTTCTATTGAGAAATTAAGGGGTTTTAAGAAAAACACCTGTAGAATTCAGGGTACTAGTAAAAATGTTGACTCACTGCCCCAACATTCTGTAGTGAATCCTTCAGTCTATGACTGACACACACACACACACACAAACACACACAAACACACACACACACGTGACCCACTCACAGCCAAGGATCACAAACTTTCAGGGACAGCCTCCAACATGGAAAACAAAGCTAAAACAAGCAAACAGAAAACAAGGAAATCAGAGGAAAGAGAGACAATACTTCAAATAAAGTACGATAAATTTCCACAGGTAAGTTAAAAAAACATAACATTTAAGAAACAGCACCAAGAATAGATGTCATAGATAAAAGAATGGAACAATATATATTGTTGCTATATGTGTGTGTGTGTATATGAATGGA